CACAAAGCTTAATGGAGCTCTGAACTAGGCATGTCAAAATTACAGCAGGTTTTTTTTATTATTCTCATATTTACAACTTCTGCAGACTGCTGACTTAGAGATGCAGGCTGTGGTTTTAATGCAGACCCCTGACTTCTTGAAGATCTATTACAATGTTTGTCCTTCTGATTATTCCAGCTCTCAGGTTCACGGATGCACCGACAGCACTTCAGTGCCATCTGCAGATGACGCCTTAGGTCACACAATGTTTTTTCCACGAAGACCGTCAGCCAGCTACATCAACAGAAACTGTATTTGCTTACATTAACATGGAGACAAATTGAAATCAAACCAAAATTTTCTGGCATTCACCAAATAGATTCTTCTCTTGGAAGCCAAGGTACTTAGTCCACCTCGCACTTCACAGCAGGAGGCACGAGTTACGTACACACATCCCGTAATCTCCCCATCCAAACAGGCCATATGGCCGTTGCCGTGAGAATTTCAAGTGATCCCAAGGATAACTTCACTGCCAGACTGAAGAGCTACCTTGACACCTTGTGCTACCTGGCGTCTTCTCAAAACCCGCAGAAAACATTTCCAAAGCAATGAAACCCACTGCTATTCCCTCCTTGGCTAAATTACAGGCAGTTTCTCCCTCTGGGACTCCTCTGTTATGGTTTCAGGGCAGAAGGGAAGCACTGCAGAAGGACTCCTGCAGGTAGAGCAAGACCAGTGTGGGTGGAGCTGGTGGGACGGTGAAGTCTTGCCTGCTCCTGGAGACGCAGCGCTCAGCAGCCCAACCTCTCGGCACAAGGCTCCTCTTTCAGCTCCGGTATCCTGCAGTAGGCACCAGCCCAACACTGGCCTCTCACTTGGTTTACTTTTCCACCCTTCGAGCAAGCCTTGGCCTTCTGCAAAGCTGTCTGAGCAGCTGCTTGTGCAGCACAAGCCACCTAAGCTGGCAGCTGAAACCCGTCCGGCAGCGAACGACAGCTCTGAATCAACAAGGAAAATGCCTGCTCAAATAAAAGGGTCATCTTCTGCTTGGGTCACCATCACTATCCTCTTCACAGTACTGCCCATCAGCTCCTCTTTGGGCAATAGAAATGAAGGTGCCAAGAACAGAGTGAGTGTCTGACCCACGAAGGCGGCCCCTCTGAAAGGGGACACCGGTGGCAGATGTGTTTTGGGGGTCTGTCACCTCCCTTCCAGTGGACAAAATGACTTTTGCCTCCCTATGCCTACGTTTTCTGAGCTCTCCCAACAATTAAAATTTAAAAGATTTGTCGTTTTTGTTGTAATTCGAAGCCAAGCATACATCAAGAACACACAACTGAAACTAGGCAGAGTTGAAAAATATACTGGTCACTTTTTATTGAGCACCGAAGTGGCAGAACCTGTACACGCCTAAGCACCAGGGGCAGGAACCAGGAAGGGTCTGCCTGGGGTTGCCGCAGATCCTCGGCTGCTGCAAGGCAGAGCTGCTCCACCAGCAGCACTCGAGGATCTGGAAGGCCATGAGCATTGCTAGCACACAGTGATACACGTAAAGTTTATTATAGCACCAAACATGCTTTAAAGTGTACATAGAAACATTAAAACCAACCTACATTAGTGATTTCCTACTGTGCTTCACAAGACTGTTGTTAAGCCATTTGTCTTTGGAGAGAAGACAAGATGAGGACAACTCATTCGGTCTGTGCTTTTGTTTCAACGTGACGGATGTCAGTGTTGAAAACAGCATTTGGACAAGTCTCTTCCGGGGCTTTTGTTTCTGAGTTTGACATTTAATAACTTGAAAAGAATTAACTTGAAAAAAACTCCAAGCATTATAGCACCATGAGGAAGGGTGATGTCTTTGATAACATCCAGTAAACAGAAATTCATCAACAAATCATTAAGTTGTCAATTCTCTTTTTTAAAAATTCCTTTTGCAAGTAGAAAATATCTTCACCATCCCATCCAGCAAGGTGGTCAGGTATGTGCTTTTGTAGCTACAAAAAAGCAGCCACTGAAGTGAATGTGTCCACTCAAATCAAGCATATTTTTGGATGCTTTGCAAGATTAGGTTGAGATCTGAAGTTTTAATCTTGCAAATTTGCTAATGTTCAACACAAGTTTTTCAACTAGATCCTCACAGGTTTTTAGGTGCTGAATTTTTTATTTTAAAATAGAACAATTTGGCATTTACTCTTTGGGACCTAGCAGTAACCACTGAAGGGCTTTGCTCATTTAACCAGAATTTGATTTTTCTGCAAAAAGTAATGCTGAAAAAAGTCAACTCACTTCTCTAAGCAGCACCTAGGAGCAAGGCTGCATTAAGACTTCCATTATGAGCTGCACTGCTTTAAGTTGTCATGTAATGTCAGTGGCAAAGCAGTAAGTTTCTGGCCTAAACTGAGATTGGAACTATAAAATATGGATGGACTCCCGTCTCTCAGGAGGAGTTAAGGTATCATTTTATGAAGTTGTATATCATAAAATTCTAGAAATAGATCTGTCGGAATATGGGGTTGCATTTAATACCTAGAACTTGGCACAAAGGCACAAAGAAGTGAATGGAGCTCAACAAATGAAGATATTTAGGAAAATGTGGAGCCCTTCATCTGTTCCTTTGCTCCGTAAAGCATCGAGGCGTGTGCCTGTTTATAATAGGAAACAGAAGAGCAGTTTGGTATCTTTCATCTCTCCAGCTGCAGATGTCATATGCAAAGTATCAAGTGTTTTTTAGGTGTCTTAGCTTTGGCTTAAACCATTTGGTGAGCGGAAAAAAAAATCCCATAGTTTGTGGGTGGAAGCAGGCACTTGTATTTGTGAATTGGGTATTTATATACATCACTACTACTCTGCATATTAAAATGCTAATTTTATGCATGCAGATGGGGACATGTACTAAACAAGGAAGTAAACGTGGCTTCTTTTGCCTAGCAATTCTGGCAGATTTGTCAAAATGAAATGCAACTGTCCCTTTAGGACTGCCACAGAAAAGGAAAACATTCATAGAAAATGTGCTTTCCATTTTATAATGCTAAACAGCTAAAAGAAGCTGTAAGACCCAAATACAAATAACTTGACCTTAAGAATTTATGGAAGTCAACATAAAGGTACAGGACTTCTAAAGAGCGGTTGCCCATCTGCCAGACAATCCTTTTAATCACACAAATTTATCCTGCTTTTGCTTTTCTAATATGTGCAACAAATAATCCAGACTTCAGCCCTCTTGCTGAGGTTTTGCAGGTACAAAAATGCAGATGTACATTTTGTGAGTGTTAACTGTGCTGCTAAAAACAACAACTTAAAAAAAACGGGCACACATGTGTCTGCTTAGATACTGTAGGAAGAAATCTGTTCTATCATTAGCTTTCAATCTGCAGCTCACCAGACTGAGAAGCTAAAGGAAAGTAACTAAAAAAAAATAAAATTATAAAACTTGTTCTGCTCCTAGCTCAGAGTTCCTCAAATTCTTAAGACTTCAGGTTTAGGCTTGTAGATTGGGTGTCAAACCTGGTGAACCCTAGGTATAAATAGGAAAAGAAGAAACCTGCAGGTTTCTTTGAACTTTAAGCTTATGAAAAGGCTTATTTAAAGTAGCTGTTTGAGACAGGCGGGCATTGGATTTGATCCAGAGAGCCCCTTTAGTCTTACAGCCTTGCCTATCTTAATGCAACTTAGATATGATATTTAGGTACAATTCTGACATCACTTCATTTTTAGAATACTGAGTTATTTTTGGGGTCATGAAATCTGAATCAGTCACATAACACGCACATAAAGGGCAGGCTCTGTTCCAGCAGCCTGATAATGGTGCTGTGGCTTATAGGGATCCGCCTAGAGGTATTTGCATTTCATGGTAAAAGGGCAGCTCATAAATGGTGTGGTTTCTTTCACGGGATCGCATTTCTTACCCTTCCAATAGACTTAAAATCTAGACTCATCCTGTTCCTTGAATAGCAATGTCTTTTTATCACTGATGGGCAGGGATCAGGGTAATGCTGGAGACGTGCTCATGGAGATTTGGGACCAGAGTTCTTCCAAAACAGAAAACTGTTGAGTAAAGCGTTCCTTGACAGCTGCTTAACAGAGTGGTCCAGCTGGGTGAAAATCAAACAAAAAAGAGGAATTAAAATATTTATCCTTCCTGGGATGTTTGCACAGATCTTGTCCTTATGTAGCTGTGTAATCTTAACAGTCAGCCTGACGTAGGTACATAAAAGACATACTGAACTGCTTTGTTTTCATAACTGCTAGTTAAGCTCAAGTTAGTTTTAAAGTGAAGCTGAAAGTGTTGACAAAACCATCTTGGCACAGAACCTTTGGTATAATAAATATTTTCATTCTTGCCTAATTCAAAGCCTGATTAAATGATCGGAGCTTTTTCAGTTGGCTTTGCTCTGGCCAGGTACATTTGCTCACATGACTGGGTCACATTATTCAATGCAACTGTCCACACACATAAAGTTATCCCACAAAAATCACTCATGTGCCTAAGTATTTGCAAGGCTGACTCTTACTGCAGTCAGTCCAGAATAAAGAACTTTTTAATTTGTCTTGGAGGAGCAGTTATACCTGCATTATAAGAAGTCCCTAAACTGAAAGTTTAAAGTCTTAAGGCACACAAAGTTTTGCAGCATTTATTTTTCATCCTGAAGGTCACTCCATCCTCTAAACACCCACAAGGCAAAGGTTCTTCAAAGAAATCAGGTGCATCTTGTGAAATGAAAATAAAAAGTGGGAAAGACATTAACTTCTTCATGGACAGTTTGCAGAGCTCAATCTCCAATGCCACAGGTTCTTGAGACACTTTTACAGCACCATCTGTTTGTCCACATAGGTGTTTCATGGAGCCTGAGGTATGTACCTGCACATAGTTTTAAGGTACTGTCCTTACACTGGCTTTTTGATGAGAGGTAATTTCACCCTCAAATGACCCTTTCTTTAAATAATTGCATACTAAGCACCAACTATTTTCACCCAGCTTTCTCTTTATTCACAGGACACTTACCCAGGCACACCTTTGATTAGCCTAAATGCTTCTGCTGGTTTTTCACATAGCCGACCACATTGTTGGAATTGCTCCCTGTAAAACAAATATCAGCAAAGTTAGATTTTAAGTTAGTCTGTGGCTAACTTAGTGTAGGAGAAGGTCAGTTCGAGACTATCTATCTAAGGAACCTGAAGGTGTACAAGTCTGTGAAACCTGATGAGATGCATCCGTGGGTCCTGAGGGAACTGGCGGATGAAGTGGCTAAGCCGCTGTCCATCATATTTAAGAAGTTGTGGCAGTCTGGAGAAATTCCCACTGACTGGAAAAAGGGAGACATAACCCCCATTTTTGAAAAGGAAAAAAAAGAAGACCCAGGGAACTACAGGCCAGTCAGTCTCACCTCTGTGCCCGGCAAGATCATGGAGCGGATCCTCCTGGAAACTATGCTAAGGTACATGGAAAATAACGAGGTGATTGGTGACACCCAACATGGCTTCACTAAGGGAAAATCATGCCTGACAAATTTGGCAGCCTTCTGCAATGGGGTTACAGCATTGGTGGATAAGGGAAGAGCAACTGACGACATCACCTGGACTTGTGCAAAGCATTTGACGCTGTCCTGCACGACATCTTCATCTCTAAATTGGAGAGACATGGATTTGATGGATGGACCACTTGGTGGATAAGGAATTGGCTGGATGGTCGCACTCAAAGAGTTGCGGTCAATGGCTCAATGTCCAAGTGGACAGCAGTGACAAGTGGCGTTCCTCAGAGGTTGCTATTGGGACCAGCACCGTTTAACATCTTTGTCAGCAACATGGACAGTGGGATTGAATGCACCCTCAGCAAGTTTGCTGATGACACTAAGCTGTGTTGTGCAGTCGACACGCTGGAGGGAAGGGATGCCATCCAGAGGGATCTTGACAGGCTTGAGAGGTGGGCCCACGCGAACCTCATGAAGCTCAACAAAGCCATGTCCGTTTGCAGCCCAGAAATCCAACCTTATCCTGGGCTGCATTAAAAGAAGCGTGACCAGCAGGTTGAGGGAGGTGATTCTCCCCCTCTGCTCCGCACTGGTGAGACCCCACCTGCAGGACTGCCTCCAGCTCTGGGGCCCCCAACACAAGAAGGACATGGACCTGTTGGAGCAAGTCCAGAGGAGGACCACAAAGATGATCAGAGGGCTGGAGCACCCCTCCTATGGCAACAGGCTGAAAGAGAGTTGGGGTTGTTCAGCCTGGAGAAGACAAGGCTCCGGGGACACCTTAGAGCAACCTTCCAGTACCTAAAGGGGGCCTACGGGAAAGCTGGAGAGGGACTTTTTACAAGGGCATGTAGTGATAGGACAAGGGGTAATGGTTTTAAACTGAAAGAGGGTAGATTTAGATTAGATATAAGGAAGAAGTTCTTCACTGTGAGGGTGGTGAGGCACTGGCACAGGTTGCCCAGAGAGGTTGTGGATGCCCCATCCCTGGCGGTGTTCAAGGCCAGGTCGGATGGGGCTTTGAGCAACCTGGTCTAGTGGAAGGTGTCCCTGCCCATGGCAGGGGGGGTTGGAACTAGATGATCTTTAAGGTCCCTTCCAACCCAAACCATTCTATGATTCTATGATTAACACCCACAGATAACTAAAATATGACAACACAGCTACCTTCTGCATCTCCTTCCAGACAGGATCTCAGACTACTTCCCATGCCAGGCCACCAAGGAGTTAACATCTCCAAAGAAGCCTGGCAGAGCAGGTGATCCAGTTCACACCTTAAACAAAAACTGATGTATCTAGCCCGATATGGGGAGTGCAGGTCAGCCCGATTACCTGTAATGACGCCCTTCCCACAGCCTGTTGTGCTGGATCTGCGAAAGGGCTGGAGCATGATGAAGACAGACCACCGCTGCCTACCATGCTCGCACTGATGGTTGGTGCCTCCTCACGGCTATTCCCTCCAAGCAGTCATAAGTCTGTTCTAGCCAGTGTTTTTGGCTGGGTGAGGAATCAGGGAAACGTGACCAGGAAGCTGGCAGTTTGCTGCTTTGTTCTTTGCTCCACACCCATTAACTTACTGATGTATTTAAACCTCACATGTGACTCACTATGGAGTAAGGCAGTACCATCCTCTGTTACAAACGGAGGCTTTAGCCACCTTGATACTGGATATCCAGCAAGTGCAGAGCAGAATAAGAAAGTAAAGCAGGATTTACAGGCAGTGTTTGTGTCCATTAAATGTACAGACTATGCAGGGACACTCCACCCTTTCATTTGCCAGGATTTTAATTTCAAGGACCTCTTCTGTAATTCTCATGCCGTGACTGATGGTTTTTATTTCACTAATTACTCTGCCAAGCTGAGATGAAGGTGTTAAGATAAGGACAAATAATGTAAGCATGACAAGGATGGATGAGGAGGAACCTATTTTATCTTATTTCTAGCAGTGCAACTCCAATAAGCTGGAGGCAGAATTTTCTCTTGAAGAACTAGGAGTTTCCGTAATAGATTAGAGTCAAGGTTTGGCAGGTCTCACACCATCTGTGTAAGACCAGAGGGGGTAATTTATTGGCACTACCTGTGTCTGACTAAAGCTGATCAAAAGCTGGAGTAGCCTTTCCACAAAGAAATTAAGAACCTCAGGCATACATACATCTGGGAATGTCTCGTAGAAGGAAACTTCTCTTCCCACCTCCCTACTCCCTCCTTGTTTCACTTTGAGGTATTGGAAAAAATTAATTAAAAGACCTTTCCCTATGGAATTAACCTGAGAAGCCCAATCTCATTAGCAGTCCCCAAGCTTAGATGCTCTCAGCTCCATGTCAGCTTGACACAACTCTGCAGCAGTTTGCCAGGGCTCTTGTTCAAAGCAGCCTTCAGATCCAAAAGCCCCAGCCCCAGCCCAAGGCATCTGTGCGATGAGGCCACTCTGGATTAAAAGATGTCCTAATCCAAGTCCGCCTACAGTCTATCAGGAAGCTGGCAGAAAATATGTGTATGCTGACAAAGCCTTTTTCTAAAAAAAAAAAAGATATATTTCTACTTATTTCAAGAATGGATACAAATCCAGTTGCCTGGAGCATTCCTAGTGCTCTGCTGGATAAGCCATATCCATAAAAAGCAACTGATTTAGTGCACCAGAAACTAGCCCCCACCATGACACAGTGTTATTCCTATGGAAACTCCAGACAAACACCAGCAGCCCCAGCATCCCAATATCCCTGGCAGGCCCTGTGTATGATGAATGTATTATTTAGTGCCTTTGTATAACTACCGATACCACAGAGAAGACAGTGAAACGTACTGTACCTTGTAAGACTTCCTCTGGGCCATCCAAAAGCCACCCATTTCCTCCCAGCCAGCGGGGTTTGGGCTGAACCAACCAGTCTAAAACTGTAAAAGACAGAAACAAGGAAGCAGAGTCAAGGTGGAGTAGCCATAGGGCACACAGTTATGGAAAAGTAACAGATTTCCTCTAACAGCCAGTGATGAGGCTGCCAGGCTCCTGAAGGACGGAGTTGAGTTTTCAGCAAGATACTTATATTTATGCTTTTGTTGTTCCAGTGGCAAGAGAGCCATGCATGTTACCCAGGGCCACAAGAACCTGGTGTCATAAAGGCCAAAGCGGCTGTTGTTTCCCATCTTCCATTCCCATGGCACGGATCAGATGAGATGGCTGCCTCGCTTCTGTGCGCACTAATTCAGATTGGGATTCTTTCTTTTCCTGAATATATAATCCCAGGACAAGAACTGGCCTCAAGTGACTTCTACCATTTGTGCTCGTGGGAATTTTGCAACACCAGCTGGCCTTAGATAATTTTTCGATTCAGCAATCATCCCAGAAATCAGAAGTGTGGAACCAAAGCTTTATCCTCAACTCACAACTCAAACCATGCTTCCTACCCGAGACCCAACGCACGTGGGGATGACTACCATTGTTTCTGCATGCTCCTCTACCAGTTTGATCGCTGGGTCCACTCTACCTGGCGGTGGCTGTACGGATTCCAGGCAGGCGTAGATGCACCCATTGTAGCAGCAGCGTTTGTGCCTTTCACACTCTGAATCCGAGCGGCAGCTGGGCACCTCGCAGGCTCGGTCAGGCAAAGTCTGGGGCGGTGGGGGGCAGCGGTCGTTCTTCTGGTAGTGGGAACTGTGAGAATGAAGAGGGTACTCATAATCCTTGCAAAGAAAAGAAAGGAAACAAAGGTTTGGCATAAGGTGAATACCAAACATCTCATCAGTTGAAACAGAAGAGGGATTTTCAAAGTGGTTTTCAAATGTTCATTAGAGAGGAGAATTAACCGGTCAGCTCCTTCAGCTCTGTCTTTGGCACACTGAAGAGAGAGCTATATGATCACCTTAGCACACTGCTTTGGAAACACCAAACCACCAAATTATTGTGTGGAAGTAATTTTACAATTAAGGTTATTCTAATGACAATGAGGAGGTAGAAAAAAAATCCTTTAAAGTCTTTTATACTTGTCTAAGAAACAGAGAGAAAGACTCCAGGCATCCTCATGATGAGCACACCAAAACGCTTTGATAGTAAAGCAGTGGAAATGAGGACGCTGTATTGTTTTGAGGTTACATCCCCAAATGGGACCTGGAACTAATGCCCCAGGTACCACCTGTCTCCTCAATAGGCTCATTCTACCTTCATCACCTTCTTCTGGACCAGAACTTATAGGGGAGTCTTTCAAGCTTATCTACTGTGCGGTCCTGGATTGTTAAATTAGAGACCATTTCTAAAGCATGAGTTGATCTGGGTGAGATCTGTCCGGGTGATGTCAGATTAATCCCAAAGAAAATGAGGCTGTGTTTGACTAGAGCAGAAAGGAGCCCAGCTGCTCACTGCACACTGAAAGGACAAGGGAGATTTAAAGTGGACTAACAGGCACAGGATTTTACCAGAAACATTCATAAGAGGCAGCATTGAGATATTATTCACACTGGTGACATTTTAGCAAGAAGCCAACTCCCTCTGACGGAGAGGTGAATCACCCAAGCCCACTCCTTTCTCACCTATGGCTAAACTACTCATCTCTGGGCTTGAGCTCAGCTCCCCAGAGCAGCATAAAGTACGCAGGGCAATCAGTTCTCAGATTTATTAACAAACATTAATAAGCTCTAATCAAATCAAAAGATGGATTCTGGATTTGCACTTTTAAAAGAGATCAGCATCTAGCCAGACATATGAATTGAGTGCTGCTGTGCACTTGCTAGCAGGCTGTTGAGTTTAAGAGCTATATATAGCTGGCCTGATCACTGTTGTGTTACGAAATCAGTGACGAACAACTGGGATTGTTATTCCAAGAAACAACATGGTGCAACCGTCCCTGAGGGGGTCTCTAGGAAATTTCACCATCAAGCTATGGAGAAATTTGAGGTGAGACTAATATCCCTCTTTATCTACATGCTGCTACATCCTCATTGTTGAAACCTTCCAACGTCTTCTGTGGAGCATGTGTGCCTTTGCGAAACAGCGTGTCCACACATGTTCCCGTCCAAAAAAATGTCCTAGGAGAGGCTCCAGGAGGTCCATTGCCCTGGGGACTGACCGCTGGCTCACACTACGTGTGACCAAGCTGCAATCAATTATCCCTAACGGTGAAAAGAATATCATCTACACTCCCTTGGCATAATTCGTAATGTAGAGAACGAAGGCAATCCCAAGGGACACCAAAAGAAACAATGATGTATATTGTGGTACTGAAGTGAGAAATTTTACTTCCACATTGTATATAGTGTAGAATCATATTGATAAGGTGGTGGTTTTTACACCAAAGCTGGCCTCTGTTCTTTGAGCCATAGCTAGGGGGAAACGGAGAGCAGCGAAGTTTCTCCGCTGCCTGGTTGCACAGGGATTGAGTGTCAGCCAATGTAGAAGTGTAGAGAAAAGTTAGGATGATTAAAAGTTTCAATTTCTGTTACAAGGTTTACGTTAAAGAAAATCCATATCCTGGTTATATCTGTAACTGGTTAAATAATGTGTGTGTGTGTGTGTCAGTGTGTGAGAGACAGAGAGTTCCTAATATTTCCACAAATGACAGCCTCCTGCCCTGTTCCCCATATCAGCCTGCCCTGTTCTCAATATCAATAAACAATTTTCTTCTGCTTTTTCCTTAGTTGTTTTCATTCAGTGAACAAGAAACTGCTCAAACCCCCTTCCATGAGGCTGTTTTCCCATGAACTGATAGGCTGTTTGAGCCACAAAGTAGGTTTGAAAAAAAAAATACTTCCTAATTTTGATGATATTTTCAATGTTAAAGTGTAAACCAAGGTGTAAGCTATCACATCATCCCATTCCTCAAAAGCTGAAAACACTCCAGCTTTGAAATAACGTGCTTTTGAATTGAAGATATTGCAAGTTCAACTTATTTTGCTGTTGTTGGATTTTAAATAGAGAAGATGCTTGGACCAAGTATAATTTTGGGATATAAGACAGCATTTAACAGTAAGTCTGTGCAGTTCCAAACATTTAACAGGTCTCCTTGTTGGAGGGAGCATTCATCCTGGAAGGTCACAGTTTACTATTCTGTTATTTGAAATGTCAGCTGCAGACTGAAATGTGACCAAAATAATACTGGCAAATAATGGATACATGAAAAAAAAAAAAATACCCAACCCCAAACAATTACTGCAGTTGCTTCACAGATGATTCAGAAACCAAGAAGCCAAAATTGCAATGAACAGTTGGCTCAATGAATGAGATTTCCGTTTGGGAACAATACAACATTTTTAGCCAAGTAACTTTGTACCTCATGATTTCCCTGCCCATTTTCTCTCTTCACCTATTGCTCTGAAATCCTTTTCTTTCAAAACCTCATAGTCAAAAAAATATTTTTTGCACCTTTGATCTAACAAAACCATTGCCACTGGTTTATGTATACATAAACCATCCCAGTGGGAATGTGGGATTCCCTCATTCCCAAAATAGCCTGGTTAAGGATGTCTTCAGGTATGGACTACAAGGTCTTTTTAAAAGCTCTCCCAGGATTCACAGTTCGGCTCTGAGCATAGCTCAGATTTATTATTTATATAGATTATGACAACAGTCAAAATTTCTTTCTTTAAGAATATATTTCAATGCAGGAGGCAAATTGCTGTTTCCCATGGAGACTTATTAAATCATTTTAATAACAATATCTGCCTTAGAGATATCCAGAAACAAAGTAAGGGGAAAAGTTCAGAGTTCAGCTGAGGAACCCTGGAGGTCAGTAAAGATGACTAGGAAAAACCAAACCTGAATGTAATCACTCAGTCTCAAGCCGTATTTTCAATACTAACTGTGCGATGCAGTCTGCTTCCAAAAAATCCCAGATCTGGTCTATCATTTGTGCCTGAAAGTGGACCCTTGGCTTGTGTCAAAGCACAATTCTCTGCTAATTTATATTCTGCATGGCCACCCCTGAGATCACACATGAGGTTTATTCCCAGCCTCTGGTCAGCGAGTTCTGCCCCTGGGAGGTATTTCCAAACACTGCCCATAAACCACCTTTTCTCTGAAACAATACACAGTCAGGAGGAATTTAGAGCCCTCCAATATTTTTATCAAAGACCTGCAAGAACACAGATCATCAGTGATCAAAGTTGCAAATATCAGACTGAAGGACAAGACCAAAACAATAGGAATAATATTCTCCTGCTATTGACTCTGGATTAGCAGTTTCGGTTCAGGTGTCTGCAGTACTGGAAGATTGTTGCAAAATTAGGGTGGGCTCGAAGAAGATGCACAATAGCAGTTAGAGGACTGGAAAGCAGGGAATACAGTGCAAGGCTTGTATGTGTGTGGGCAGGTTTCAAAGGAGAGGCTGAGGGCTGCTCCGCTCATACGTTACTCTCAGGCATATGCACGACAGAAATCTCATGGGAGGTGTGCTAATCTGGTAGATGAAGAGGTATCCTGGTTTCAGCTGGGATAAAGTTAATTTTCTACCTAGTAGCTGGTATAATGTCGTGTCTTGGATTTAGCATGAGAAGAATGTTGACAACAGACTGATGTCTTCAGTTGTTGCTACGTAGTGTTTATACCAAGTCAAGGATTTTTCAGCTTCTCATGCCCAGCCAGCAAGAACGCTGGAGGGGCACAAGGAGTTGGGAGGGGACACAGCCAGGGCAGCTGACCCAAACTGGCCAAAGGGGTATTCCAGACCATGGCCAGTATATGAACTGGGGGGAGTTGGCGGATCATTGCTTGGGGACTGACTGAGCATCGGTCAGTGGTTGGTGAGCAATGGCATTGTGTATCACTTGGGTTATATTTCACTCTCTTTTTGCTATCTTCCTTTTCACTACAATTATTACTATTATTATAATAATTTCTTTTAATTTCAATTATTAACTGTTCTTATCTCAACCCATGAGTTTTACTTGTTTTCAATTGTCCTCCTCATCCCACTGGGGTGGGGGAAGGAGCGAGCAGCTGCGTGGTGCTTAGTTGCTGGCTGGGGTTAAACCACGACAAGAGGGTATCTCAGCGTTGATTTATGACAGCTAGCTGGAGAGTAAATACATTGTTGGAAGAACATTACAGCAGCTGCAAGGGATTCTTCATTTCTGGAAATCTATAAAAGAAGGCTGGATTTTTTTCGAAAATGCTTGATGCAGCCGAAACTGGAATAAAATCAAGACTGCCCCAGGTTTTCCCAATAGACATATGGGTGTCTTGATAATGAATTAAAGCCCACTCCCAGGTAGCTCCCTCCCTCTGCTCTTTGGGAACAGTTCACAGACTGTGCGGGGGCTGCAGAATACCAGCTGCAAATCACTGAACTGGACAAGTGTCCCTCTGGCTGTAAAATGCATGGATTTCCCAAAAGCTGGAAGCCCAGCTCCTCCACTGCACTGTGACTGCCATTTTTTTCTTCTCACTGTATTCCCTCTCCTCTTTCTCCCTTCTCAATTCCCCCTTGACCCCTCCTTGCCAACCAATACCCTTCCTCAGGCACCTTAATAAATAACTCCTGGCTACACCTCAAGCCAGCTCCTCATTGTAACACCTGCTCATCGTTCTGCGGCCAGCAGTTTGGTGGATGCATTCTTCCTGCCGTAGACTCAGATTTTATGGACTCAGACGACATAACTCTCAGTCAACTCCCTACCCCTCACTGCCTCCTCCCTCTGCAGACCTTGCCTGTGTCCTTCTGGAGGTCCCACAGGGATGTCTATGGCCCATCTTCTGTATGGCTGCGTGTTGTCGTAAGCACCTCCATCTTGTATCCCTCTATCCAAGTGACTCACAAATCAGCTGTTCCACTCACAGCCTCTGATTTTCGAACTGTAGGGAACATACAGCATTTGGTAGAAAAGAAAGCCTCTCCCTGAGGAACAGGAGGGGCTGCCAAAACAGACTCTTGATGGATAAGGGGATGGAGAGTGGACGCCTTCCTCCTTACAAGGCTTTGAGAAGAAGGAGAAAGAAAAGCATTTTCTGTTCTCCCTAGATAAGATGTTTCTGTCAATGTGAGCAATTCTAGCTGAGCTTGCCAGATCAGTAGCACCTGGATTCATGGCTGCCAGAAAAAACAGTCCTTTGAAGAACTGCAGATTGAAAGAAGAGGATATATCCCCAGGGGAGCAGGCTCTGTGCCTCTACAGAGCGCATTATCTGAAGATCAACATGTAAATTCCTGTTCTACTCCTATCCTATCTCTCTGGGTCATTTACTTCATAGCTCCTATTGAATTTGAGCATTGCATTGAAATATGACACAAGAACATACTAATAAATACACTTTCCAGTGAGTGATTTTGCAGGAAACACAGCTCTTCATGTCACCATTTTCCAGTTAAAGTGCAACCCAGATGATACCCGGTCCTAAGGGAAGCTACAATGAAGAAAATTTCATGTTGTAAAATACTGGGGTGCCTTTCAAACATCAGCACAATGTTTTCTGCAAAATTTCAAGGAGACAAGGGCACCGTATTTCAGTTCATTGAGCACAGGCGAAAGATCTGTGTCACACTTCTGAGTCAGCAATTGCACAAACCAAATGTAGCTGTCTCCAAACATCACTCTAGATGTCATGGGCAAAAAAGCATCCTTTTTAAATTAAAGGCTCTTATATGTGGCTGCAGAAAACAGGTGGAGGAATCCCCATGTGACACCAAGGACCTGTTTATGTACATGCAATGGCTGGAAGATGCAATCAAACCCAAGCATGAGAAAAAAGACCGGCTGGGGCTTCCATCTAAGTGATTCAAGGGGCAGAAGCCCTGGGTCAGTGCTGGCTTCTAAGGGGACTTTAATGGAGTAAGTAAAAATTTCAAATTTTTTTCCTTTCTAAACAGCAGGTCCTGAAAGTCAAACTATCAAATTATTTTCCTTTTTTTCCCCTCCCATCTCCTCCATGGCCATTTCTAATAGTCTTTTGGCCCAGACATACCAGAACAAGACCCAGCACCATCATTTTCTTCACTCACAGTAATTTGTTGCTGCTTCAGTTTCAATTCCAGCACTACTGCTGTAAGTACCACTGCAGATTTGGAAATGGTGGTTGCACTCAGTACCCCATGCAAGTCTGCCAAAAGCGGGCAGGGACAGACAGTGCCACTGAGAAGCTGCCAGGGTGTGGGCAGCAGAGGGGAGCTCTGCTCCCAGTGAACATGCCAGGCATGGTACAGCCACGAGAATGGATTTTTCTGATCGGCTCCTTACACCCATTAAGGTGATCGGCACGTTACTCTGACACTGTGGATGTGGAGGTCTCTGTGCTCCAGTGATTTACAAAACGCTAGGCAATGCCACCATCCCTCTAGTGCACATTATCACTAGGAGCTGGAAACATTTACCCAAAGTTACTCCAAAAGGCAGTGGAGGAACGGGGCAGGGAACCCTCCTCCCTTCTCTAAACAATAAATCAATTTATCTTCTTTTCACTAAATCTATCTCCAGACATGTAGGTTTTGCATTCCCCTTCTCCTCATTCATGCTTCCCTTGCTGCCCTATGAAGTTTCTAGGAAAAGCAGTGACGGCAGCCTTACCAATGTCTTCTCACTGTTCCAAGTGTGCTTTACAAGTTTCCCATTGCAGCAGCTAGGTGGCAAAAGTTTAGTACAGCCTGGGAAACTTAACGCAACCCTTTTATAAAGAGACAGCCTGCAGATTCAAATACTTCTTATTCTAAAATGATACACTCATGTAAAGAAAACTCCCCTTTCACGTTGAGCATACCCAGCTCCCCCCAAATCACCCCACCACAGTTTACTCACATCGTATTTCTCCGTCATTTTCAGATGTAGAGCACGCTTCCAGAGATTCCTTGCACAGCCCGAATCTGGCAGCAAAACTAAGACACACAAGGCTGCAGTGAAGATCTTTTTACAGAAATGCATCTCTGATAGTACCCTGGAATCCATTTTCCCCAGGAGAAATCAAATAAGGAGCCCAGCTTTCAGGATCGAGACGATTCAGAGTCTTGGCAAGGAGGGAGGGAGACGGGGAGGGAGGGAGAGTGAGGGCTGATCGCTGGTGAGAGCCGCTTTTCGCTGCGCAGCTTCTGGGAAGGGAAAGGGGGAAAAAAAAAAAAGGATCCCACAAGCAGAAGCCAGGAGCTGCTGTTGAACTTCTTCACTCAAAGTTAGATCAGGTTCTCGGCTCACATGTTCACACAAAGCACACGCTCTCCTTGAATGATAGATGGGATGATTATTTGGAAAGATTATTTTTAGACCTTTGTTCCCAACATCTGGCATCCTCAGACAGCCCTATTCAAAGCCAAAGCGTGGGATCAGATGACAGCTGCCGCAGGGGGAAATAAAGGTCTTGGAGGGGTGGGCTCGGCAGCTTCTAGCAAACAGCTCACCCAAACTTCCCAAGCTACTCAGCTCTCCCTTTGTGTGCTTCCCACTGTGCCCTGAGCTGTGGTTTTGGATCATGTTTTGACAAAGCGATAACTTCATATGAAGTTTGCTTGAAGAAAATGATTTAAAGACGTGATAAACATGCAGGGGCTTTAATTAAACCAAGTTGACGTTAGCTTTCTGCGAATGATTTCAAAGAAGGGGAAGACATGGCCATTGGGGAAAAATAAATCCATGTGCATGGGTGGGGAATAGGAAAGGCAGGCAGCTTAGAAATGACATGACCAAATGGAAAGTGAGGAAGGGGACGTGAGTCAGCCTGTGCCTGACAATGGGAGAGAGGGAGAGACTGCATCTGGGGTATTAGACACCTACATTGACATTCAGGCACCCAAGTGCCTGAAGGACAAGAATGGACTTATGAAGTCAGGCTGAAAGCATCCCAGCATCCTGCCTGGATGGGGACAGAGGCAGGTGCCAAAGAAAAAGTATGAGAACAGGGCAACTGATGCATATGTATCCATATATATACTTTCACAGCCTTCAGTAACGGTGTTCGGGCTTCCTGAGCCAAATGTGGGGGCTGTTTATTTTATAATCCTCCATGAATTTCTCCTCCAGCAGCTTGTCCATCCTCCACCTGGAATGAAGGAAGAAACGGAACCACAATGTTAGTTGAGATACAAGCACCAAGCCCCTCTTGCCTTCAGTTTACCCTCACTGCAGCCCTGCTCTATAGCCAAGGCAGAACAGAGTGGAGGCTTGCTGGATGCATTGGATTTATTGTGTATCTGCAGTAAGATGGGTCTGCACAGGAGTGTTAGACCTTGTGGACAAATAGAAAAACAATCTTCCGATTCTTCCTTATATCAGAAAGCTGTGGCAAGTCACTTTGATCCATGCCTAAGGGTCAATAGCTGCATGTAGGTGGCAGCCAAAGGATTTCATCTCCAAGCCTGCCAGAATATGGTGATGGAAATCTGAAGAATGAGTGAGGTGTGGGTTTTAAAAGCTCTGTATTTAACTGAATATATTTGATTTACTCAGAGATAAGGGGTTTACAGGGTTTCTAGCAGAAACTGTGCTTTGGGGCAGTCTTGTCCATATCTCTACCGCTGTAGAAAACTTCTTAGCACCAAAACCTGTTCAGTTCATGCCAGGGAATTTAGTTGGTAAGAAAAGCCAAGCAGGGGCTATTGTTATGGGAGGAAAGTAGAGAAAGAAGGGTGGGGAAAAAGAATGAAGAGTTAAACTGGGGAGGGTCACCTCCCTCACAGATGCAGCAATACAAGGAGTCCTCCTGGGACTGGCAGAGCAAGCTGCCTTGCCTGTGCGTGGAGTCTATGGACTCCCAAAGGAGCTCCAGTGGCGAGTGTTTTGGAAGGGATCTCTCTGGGGATGCAATGCCTGTATATCGCTCTGTGTTTGTATAATCTTCATCACTGCTTGATCCATAGGTTGCTCCTGCAATAACATGACGTGTCGCTCCCTAAGGCATGAGCAGGGTTTTGGGGGGCTGACAGGATTTGGGGGGACCCCATGGCACAGTTGTTTCAGGGAGTGTGCATTTGGCCTGGAGAGCTTTTCATGGCACAGAGGCTTCATCACTCTCCAGCAGGCTGCTGAGAAGACTGTCTCAGCAGAAAGCATGGCTCCAGGTCCCTGACACCTGCTTTGCACCATCCTGCCGGTTCTCCTCTCTCTTTAAATGTAGTCACCCATTTAAAACAGTATTTCTTGCCGTTTTCCTTTAAACAGGTCATTTCCCTCAGGCTGTCTTCTCTTCTGCATTTAATTAGGACAACTGTGGAAAACTCGTGTCCATGGGTCAGTTAACAGCTACACAAAGTGACTCCGTAATGACTGAAGTGTTAACTTCAGATGAAGGCAGAGCTCAGCACCTACAGGTCACTGTCATCTCCACCGAAATCTCATCCAAATGTCATCTGAAATCAGCAGTTGTGCTGGAGTTAGTGAAAGGCACACTCAGACATCGTCAGTACATCCAGAGAGGAATACATCACTACCACAAGACTTCAATTTGTGGCTTTATTTTTTATTGCTCAGAGAACTTTGTCCGACACAACAGGATGCCTCCAATTCCCTTCAAAAACAAATCTCCCCTGTTTGTTGCAATATTAATATCTGCACCTTGATAAAGCACCTTTCAGGCACAACCAGGAGCTCCCACCAGTGTCCTGACTCCTGTGTTGTAAGGTGTCAAATGACATGGCTGGTTGCACAGAATAAACAAGATTTTTTCTTAGAGTATTCCTACTTAATTTATGCCCTTGTGCTGATATTTCACATGTCTGTGCTCTTGCTGAAACCCAAACCAGCATGAAACAACAACTGTTCCTGATAAATCTCCCTAATTTAATTTCATTTTTGTTGTTTGTTTCATATACTTGCAATCTGGACTCGGAGCAACTAATTCTAAAGATTAATAGCTACTTCAGACACCATTTACTGTCCTTTCTTTTGGCAGATATACAGCTTTGACATTTACCGAGGAGAAACTAGGGTCTGTGCATTACAGTTCATGGACTGTATACCAGAGAAGTGAGAATTCTCCTGCAGGACCAAACTTCAACAGCTGGTCATGGTCTTCACATAAAAATGAACGTTGATGTTATAACACTTAGGCCTCCTGCACGCAGCCACTTCACCTTAACTTCCCAAAGTACTGCATGCAATGCCTGGACTAGATTATCCCTTCTATGAGCTGGGGAAACTGAGGCACAGAGTAAGTGATTTGCTGAAATTAGACCTTCTTCCATCTGCATGACCAAACTGCTAGAGTTATAACAGCTCAGCCTAGGCCAGGGCTCTGTTGCTTCAAGGCTCTGTCCTCACATTCAATAGGGAATTCTTCATGCCACCCATTTCCATTCCTCACATGCTTCTACCTCCAGTCTGTCTTGGAAACTAGCCAAGGGATTTTACATTTTTTATAGGATTAAGAAAAACTTCTTTAGCTGGCAACATTGGAAAGAATATATTTCTCACCTTTTCTGGATATTCTTCTTCTTCTTCGTAGTCCCTGGCAGGGCTGTCTCATCACAGGACAACTACAGGACAGCTTTAGCCCATTTCATATTCACCCTGCCCTCCCATTTGGAGCCCAGTGCAAACCTAAACCAACAGAGACTTTAGCCCACTCAGTTAAGGAGGCTCCTCGCTCCCGCTACAGAGCAGTTCATGTCTTATCAAGTTCACTTTTGAATGGCCCATTCAGAAAAAAAAGGAAAAAAAAAAAAAAAGAGAAGCAGCTTTGACTTTCTGAAGAATTTCTTGTTTAACAAAGCAGTTCTCGGCAGGTTTATGGCTCCAATTATTAGTATAAAGCATTCTTAACAGCTTGTGAAGTAATTATAGGAATCAGGCACAAATCCTTAGCAAACACAGACACCGGTAATAATTAGAAATTTAAAATTTACTGCTAAGCATATTTCTGAGTTGTGTTACTTTAAATGCTAGGTATTTGATGACGTATTATGTTTTTAAAACTATTATTTCAAGAAAGAGAGAAAATTAATTGCCATTTTCTCTTAAACTACATCTTATCTACACACAACGGTTGGGCCACAGTCATTTACTCTAAGTGGATTAACTCCCTCTGGTGATGGTTACATCCATATAAATTTGCTGTATGGCTATTCTATGCAAAGTGGAATAAGTGATGCTGGTATAAGACATCCTTGTGTTATTATGTCTTGGCTAGATTTGGCTCCTGCTTGTCTGAAATCTTGAGCATTCAGCAGGCAGGCAGTTAGACTGACAGCTGGAGAAAACAAGTATAGTAACATATATAACTGTATCAACGCTGTGCAATTAGCCCAGGGAATGCATTAAAAGTGAAAAGCCACATGCCTAACCAGTATGTCTGGCCATGCGCAAGACATGTGTGAATGAACCAGCAAGTGGATTTTCTACTAGTGAAAGTTTACAGTGCGCTCAGTTGCGTCATTCATAATAAAATGATTTGTTTTCTATAGGCTTGTCCAGGGAATAGGTAGTACATCACTAAGTCAAGGTTTCTCTGCATCAAGATTTGTGGTGCAGTTCCTCACACAAAATTCGCGCTGCCTTTAAGGATGTTAAATGAGATCGCTTCATACATCATCACTAAGCAAAGAGTCATCTTCTGTGCATGAATCTGTGCAAATTTCCATTCCACAAATGGTTTCAATAAGGCAAATTCTGCAGTAACATAAATTGCCGTCAGATGATAGTGGGAGAACGTGGCTGAGACTTGAGCATCTCCCCAGGACCTGTGACACTTCAGCATCATTTGTTACAGCGAGGAAGATGTATCTGAATAAAAGGAGGGCATTTTATCAGGCTAGGAGAATAAAATCGCTTTTGGAACCAGGATTCGTGCTGCCTGATTAAAATGAATTAAATAATGGGTTTTAAAAATGTTCTCAGGGAGGTTCTGAGTGAAAGTCACAGGGTGTTTGTGCAGCCAAGGAAAAATTTCTTTCTCCAGCCAAAAACAAGTGATGTAGTTTAGCCTAAGCCAAGACTTCCCCTTTCCCAGAGGAAAGATTTGA